AACATTCGTAAACATTCAAGGTCAGACCGGTCTACTTAAGCTGTTGTGCAGACACATTTACGGACGCCGTTCACAGCAATTGAGTGGTGTTCATGCGTTTTTTTAAAACAGTTGGCGACAGGCGAACCTCGGATATAAAACAAACATGACACCTTCGTGTTTCACAGCGCGAAATTCGCTGCCGCCCCTGACGATTTGCGAACGGATTAGAACGGTCCGATCGATAAGCAGACAAGAAATCAAGACATACGGCGAAAGTCACCGTAAAGAGTGCATCGCCTACATAGTGCACTTGGCCTTCATGTTTTAGCGATTGAAGTGGCTATGCCTGCTATTACGAGTTCTAATCCATAAATCGCAGCGACAGTGCACCCAGACATCAACATCATCTCCATCATTTCACTTTCTAACCGATGAAGACAACTGTCTGCCTTCTAAAAGGCCTTGAAATGCATGACCTCATAGCATTTGCCGTCGTCTCCATGTCAGGCATGCAATTAATTCCGGTTACAGGCCAATACAAAATTGTGTGTTTTAATCAAACGGTCTCACTAAAGAAACAATTCATGCTCTCATGTTTTGTGCCGGACATCGAGGAACCTGCCGGAAACGTCTCAGGATGTTTTCTTGTATGGCCTAGGATGGGACGTTTTTCTGAGTGGTTCGGGAAACCCCGGAAGAAGGAGCCAATCCCCTTATTTTGATGAACTGTTGGCAAATGACGGCGACTCTAAACTCCCGTTTTTGTCCCTCCTTCACATGCGCAGTTTACACTCACAATAGTAATGCAGAACTGATCAGCCGCAAATTGACATGGCAGTATTTTAGACCGTCCAATTTACCGGGTGGCAAACACCGCAAATAAAATTAACAAACACAGCTAGTTTTAAAATTCTGCAAGGATAATAGTAAACATTGCAAACGACAGGGAATACTTTTATATTCAGTGGACGGTGTCCTAGAATGGTGCGGGAAGTGATCGAGCAGAGAGAGCATTTCCACGTCGAGCAAGACTTTGTGCTTGAATAGAACTACCGTTTCATAAGCATTCAAACTTGCATGAACCATTATAATCCCAATCTAGGCACCGTCTGCGGACAAACAGAACGTCCTGGGTGTTTTCTCGGATGAGAAAATAAGCCAGCACTACATGACCTTAAAAGAGAGGCGTTCTTATTAAAAGTATGTTTTTGATTTTGGGGTCTCTAGGTCTTTAGAATACCACTGATTCTTTCCGATGCAGTACTACTTTTAACAACATTTTGCTCTCTTTCGACTTAATATATCAGCTGTTACTGTGGAAAGTGCCGCCGCGTGTGAATTAATTTTTTGACAACTAAAAGCTTTTGTGTATTTAACCACATTTTACCAGTATGGGAGGTCTGTTAGTATTGCACATAGTTGAAATTTCCGAATAGACTATTGGCTGATCCGTACCACACAGTTTAACTGACTGAATTTGTCAACACAAGAGGTTTAATTTGTTTCCCTAGGCGCGCAGTAGCGTTCTCATTGAACTTCCTAGACCTCGGCATTCTTCAATCCTGAACACTTACGTCTGCGGAGGGCCAGCTTGGCATTCTGGCACGACCAGAATCGACCGCCACGTCGATGTCGACGCTCATTAAGAGGGCTTACGTACACGCTCACTGTCTTGTTCCCACACCCTAACACCTGCTAACCCCCACTCGGCCACATAGACGCATGCTGTTTCGCCATTCCACCCCCCTCTCATGTGACACGGTGAACACCAACCGAAACCCCTAACACTTCTATCGCCGGCGCCTTGGCCCCTGACCTCATCCCGCATCAATGACCAGCCGCCCGCATTCCCACTGATCCGCAATCCCCCCGCGTTTTCTCTACCTCCAACACAGGGAGTCTCACGGTTATCCCTTCCCTCCCCCGGCGCCACAGCCTACCATAACTCGGTGCCCCCCCCCTCTCACGCACCAGCTGTCGTTGTCTGTCCTGTCGAGCCAGCCGACCTGGTCTGCCGATTTCACTTTTCCCTCTGTTCATTTCGTCTGACGACGGGTCGGTGTCACTGACTTGAAAATTTTCGAGTTCAACTCGATTTTTCCGAAGAGCCTTCTCTTTATCATAAATATTTATATTACTGATATGAATGTCATCAATTCTAATGACAACGAACAAAAGGGTGCTCTTTCAAGCAATCATTATTAATGTTAATGGAAATAATACGAAAATATTAAGCATATAACATGTGGCTGAACCTGCAGCAATACAGGCTGTGTCACTTAAATTCCAACACACATTCGTTGACCTCGATCGGGTAATATAGTTGGGCATCAATATTCCCAAAACTCTATACGTCTGTCTGTACATGCATGTGGTAATAGTGCCTTTATTGACAAATATCAAGAGCGCACTTATCGTTTATGAGCCTTCGTGTATATTTCAAATTGTATATTATAAGTTTAAATGACGCTTAATAAGCGTCGAAATAACAAACCCCAGAAGTGCCTTCTCAGCAAAATTAGAAAAATATTGAAGCCTTTCTGGCGTTGACGATATCTTCAACAACTACAATGCTTGACCCAATTGAAGGAAAAATCAACCCGGAATTTGAGCAGTCTGGCTGATCAATGCATGAAATGAATCCGAACACAAACCAGAGCAATCATGTGGCCCATATAAATCATGCCAGTCTGATCTAGTGAAATGTCTAGCGTGACTTGTGAATTATTCAACGGCTGCATTCTACCTAACAGCATCTTATAAATGTCCACCACGTGAAACAAACATGCACTGTCCTTGACACGAGGTCGCTGAACGGAGCTACCGGCGAGAAAGCGCAAGCACGTATTTCAGCAAAATCTGACGACTAGGTTCACAGGCAGAGACATTTCATCAGACCGAAGGCAGTAGGCCATCAACACTGCGTCCAACTTCGTACCACGGCATGGGAAGTGTAAGCAAGTGTCCTTCAATCGATCCAAACACATTAAAACATATTCACTGATTGGCCACCCGCCCGATTAAACATCGGATACTGGTATCTAGTCCCACAAGTGTCCGCATTTGCTTGAGCGCCAGCCAGTGCAACGCTGTCATATCCATCGAGAATTTCAGACCAAGAGAAAAAGTCTGGTGTAATGCTATATGCGCGAATATGAACGACGATATCCGAACAGATGTCAGTTTGTCATCTCGATAAGCTGTAAAATCGAACACGAGATATTCTACCACAAGCACAAAGTTCTGGACATTACTTTGCTGCCATAACCCTTCCGAAGCACCGATTAACATGTGAATACTAATACAATGTGACTTTTTCTTGTTAATTTCCAACTTTCATATAAATATAAACATATATATAGGTTGAATGATACTACCGAAAAGGGCAGGAGAGATTTGAACGGTCATTTCTGGCTTATTAGCCGTCGTCAGCTAATCATACTTAAACCCGAAGTATGGAACACCTAGGGCTCGATCTCGCGACCTATTAGTTAGAAATCTAACGCCTCTAACAACTGAGCTACGGGTTTGTTGTCTTATTGGTCAACTGAGCTACGGGTTTGTTGTCTTATTGGTTTTGATCGGGAATATAGAATGGTGTACGGGTGCCCACCGTATAATTGCATAACATCGAAACTGACAGGGCAACGGGCTCGTGGCCCAGTGGTTAGAGGCGTGGACCTCTAACTAACAGGTCGCGAGTTCGAGCCTCGAGTGTTCCATAGTTCGAGGTTGGGTATGACAGGCTGACGACGGCTAATAAGCCAGAAGTGGCCATTCCAGTCTCCCTTGTCTTTGCCGGTCATATCATTATGCCTATATCCTGCGCCGCTAGGCGAATGCTTGTTTGGCAAGAGAGATAGAGCTCGTAAGGCAAAAGCGAGCGAATGCGTTCCGTTGGAACGGTCGAGGAGCGCTCCCTACCATACGATGAATTCAAATGACGCTTAATGAGTGCCGAAATAACAAACCCCAGAAGTGCGTTCTCATCAAAATTGGAAAAATACTGAAGCCTTGCCGACTTTGGCGATATCTTCAACAGTTACTATGCTTGACCTCACCGAAGGAAACATCAGTCCGGAATTTGAACAGCCTGGCTGCTGAATGCGTGAAATGAATCAGAACACAACCCCGAACAATTATCTGGCCTCTGGAAAAGTATTCTGAATTAGGCAGAATGATATTACCAACAAAGACAAGGGGGACTAGAATGGCCATTTCTGGCTTATTAGCCGTCGTCAGTCAGTCATACAAAACCCCGAAGTGTGGCTGCTAGTTGAGCTCGAGAGAGAGTCCATAAGGCACAATCGAGCGAGTAAGTTCCGTAAGTACGATCGGTGAGCACCTCCTACCATTGTATATTCCCCATCGAAAACCGACAGGGCAACAGGCTCGTGGCTCAGTGGTTAGAGGCGTGGACTTCTAACTAACAGGTCGTGAGTTCAAGCCTCGGGTGTGCCACATTTAGGGGTTGGGTATGACTGGCCGACGACGGCTAATAAGCCAGAAATAGCCATTTTAGTCTCCCTCGTCTTTCTCGGTAATATCATTATGCCTATATCATGCGCCGCTGTGCGGCTGCTGGGTGGGCTCGAGAGAGAGTCCATAAGGCATAACGGAACTAGTGAGTTCCGTAAGAATGATCGGCGAGCGCCCCCAACCATTATTCAGAAATACTTAAATCAACGGCATAAACGTGAGATCAACCCTGGATCAATAAGTTTGAGGCAGATTCCAGGCAATGATTAAGTTTCAAACTGCGCGCTCACGTAATACATAGAAGCCATTGCAGTGAAATAATGATGAAAGAAGAGAACGGTCTATATAAGTAGCATACCCAGTCTGTCAGGAAAAATTCCAATTCCCAAAATCAAAGCTACTGATAATCACTTTTCAGTGATATTTGAGGCAGACAACCATAAGAAAAGCATGGATGTTGCAGGTGCGTTGACGAAAGGAAGTACAAAGGAGTGAAGAAGAACAATGCACTCCCACGCGCGATGTCCAAGCGCAAAGGACTATTGCCTTGCATCTGGCTTTTTTGGAATGCGACTTTCCACAAGTCTGATGAATTCATCATCTTGGAAGGCGGTCTTTTTGATGTAGGGCTTCTGGTTCATGAGTTGACAGTACTTTTGCACTGTCGGCCACTTGGAAGCGACGGTATCAACAGTGTCACCAGCGTTCTCGTCAATCTCCAATAGTCGACTCATCAGGAAGTCCCAGGCTTGCAGGAAGGGGAATAGAGCCAAGTCAGCCAGACTCACTTCATTACCTTTGGAGTCAAAATAGGAAGGAAAGTCTTATTGTTAGCCGTTTTTTTCAAAAAACAGTAATATCATAACCAAATGGGAGCATTTCCGTTCCCTTTTGGCAAAACCCGGCAAAAATAACAGACGAACTTACGTCATACTGGTCGTGTTCAACCAAGCATAGTACGCATATATTAACAAAAATTCGATCATCATTCAAATTAAAATATTAAGACGGTACTGTATCATTAGGTGTCATCCTAGCGGTAGGGCATGCAAACGCAGATTCTTGCATTACAGGCAGCCTAGGTGTGTTTTAGGTTTAAAATAATCAGAATTATAGACAGGTTGGGGAGACGAGATGTAGTAGTAGGACTTAGGCTAAATTCACTACACGGGAGTAGGTACTCCCTGGAATTTGACGCACAGCCACCTCTAGTATGGGAGTCTCAGGTTCCCCTGTCAATTTGTTTCGGGCAACAGAATGGGAAATGGTCATAAACAAAGTTCGCGCATGACACGCTTCAAGAAGACAAGCTGAAAATTCGGCCAAGTTAGCAGTCGCGCTTGCTTCGTTTAAGCCCTATGTCCTCGATTCCAGAGAGGATCCTGACGAAGGAGGTGAATGCTGGCCAGTGATGTCACGCAAATCATGAAGAACTCAGGAGTGGTAATGGACCTACCCATCAGGTAAGGACCCTTGATGGCTTTCTCAAGATTTGATAGAGCAGCTTTTAGGGCATCAGCATCGGCTTTGGTTGGCTCCGGTGAGAAACAGAGTTTGTAACGGGGAGCAGCAATCTGGATAGCACATGCAAAAAGGAAGCATGTCACGCTTTAGGTAGGGATGAAGACATTTTATTGTAAAAGTGGAAAACCATGAAGTGTCAATCGTACCTATGCATGGTGAACGTAAGTATACTAAACCATGCAAGGGAATGATAGATTAGTTTCCGTAGTTCTATTCTCGGCAGTGCAAACGTGTTAAGTTATTTGGACATTATACCTCAATGTTAAGGGCTATATTACTTATACTCTTTTGGTTCAACGTTCAGTCCCCGGTCAGAGAATTTAAGTTTAAGTGGATCTCGCTGCGTTAAACATTCTACTAAAGTACGTAAAGGCAGACTAGTAGTTTATAAGTTAACTTTTCTCCGAATGGAAATGACATGAGCAGTCAAACAGCAGATTAAAATGCATATATCAATGCATCCAGCTTTATCCGCCGCCATCGAGCTTGCTGGTACTGCAAGCGTGCCCTCGTAGAAAACGAACCATATTAAAGCTGAAATCCATAGTCCAAAGTTTAACAAACTTTGCTGGTGTTCGAACATTCTTTCGGTTCACTTGTGAATGCATGTTTGCTAGCTGTTACTAGCCATAAAACGGGTTGCGTCGTACATGCACATGATGGTTGGAGGAGAACCTGGAGAGTCTTATTAAGAATGGGCAGCAATAACAAATGCCAACATTCGGGGTATGTTGACATGCCTACTTGCAGGCACACCCCATACCACCTTGAATCTCGACTATCTCCTCTTTTTCTTGATTTATAAACACCCGGTCAATGCATAATCTGGACCAGGTGTGCTGGTACGCCTAGGTGAGGGTTCTCGCCGCGCCAGTCACCTGTGCCTCCTCACGTCTTGACGCTGTCTGGACACCTTGCTCGGTTGAGGGAAAAACCAAAAATGTGATAAATGCAGCGGAAGTTTACTATCATTTTAATAACTTGTACGCCGGTCATGTCGCCTACTCTTATCGTACTGTACGGGGCCCGGTGGACATTGTCAACAAGGACGGTCGAAATATCGTTTCTAATATTTCCCTTGCTGTAAGTGATAACGCAGTTACTGTTGCTGATTTTGAGGATTGCACCAGTGATTATGCTATTGATAATTACGGTGATGGTGCATGAATGCGCATGTTCAGCGATGCAGTGGTAGACTAGAAAGAACTAGACTGGTTGATGAATTTAAGACCATTTCGTCCAGAAAAATGTGTTTTACACAAACCAAAATTTTGTGAATTAGCAGAGAGTATAAAAGTCAGCAGACGTACTGCAGATGACAACTCCAAAGCCTTCTTGAAGCCTTCTTCACCACACACGCTCAGTAGTGAAGATCCAGCACCTTTAAACTGATCGACATACTTCATAATAACATCTGACTCAGCCATTCTCTCACCCCGATAAAGCAGTAATGGGACCTTCCCGACCGGATACAATTGCAAGTACCAGCTGGGCTTGGAACTGAGATCGATGAGTACCCGATCGTATCTGAGAGGGAATAATATCACGGGTAATAATGGAACGGCCAATGTATATGTGATTAAGAGAACTTGATTATGTAGAAAGACAAGCATTCTCAAAAACGACAGGCGTGAAAAATGCAAGGAGAGCGTAAAGAAGTTGTGAACCACATAAAGGCATAGCATTTACGAAAGAGTTTGCTAGTGATCAAGTCGAGTATGTGCAATACGTAACAAGAAGACGAAAAACTACAAGGTCTAGAAATCAATTCACAGCTTTTATAAAATTATGGGCAACAGTAACTGTCTATTGCCGCTCAACAATCCTCTATAACGACTGCGTTTAGAGAAACTGTCACCTAGCGAATAAATGAGTACTGCAATGACAACAGCATCCTTGAAAGTTTCCGCGCTTGTAGCGGTCATGGAAGAACCGGCTTAACTTTTTATGATCTGACCAGTCACTTGAGCAGCAGTTGAGCGAGTACTGGGGGGCCTTCAAGGCGTTCTTGTTCTCCGCAGAACCCAGTCGATTGAGGGCGATGATCCACTGTCTCTCGACATTCTTCTATAACGACTGAGTTTATAGAAACTGTCAACCAGCGAACAAATGGGTACAGGAACGATTACGCAGCCTTGCAGACATTCTATGCGTATGATAGTTAAGGAAGGACTGCTTCAACTCGTTTTGCTCAGAGCGGATTCATCGACATGACAGGTGGATAAGACTGCAGTTCAGTGAGAGCTGGAAGCCCTCAAGGTGTTCATGTTTTCCGCGGAACCCAATCGTTCTAACACCTTGTAATGTTACACGAAAGGTAAATGGTATTCCGATCGACCAATCAAAGGCGCAAATGGAGCAAGCTGCTGTTTGCGATCATTTGAAAAGTTGTGTCACGGTGCATTATGCTGTCAATTGTTGTACAGTTGGGGAAACAGACAACACTGGTTTGGATGTGCAGATTGGTTAAATTCTACGAACGAGTAGAGGACTGACTAACACACTCATCACTGACGGAAAAACCAGTCAAATTTGTTGCGTATCAAAATTTTGTGGCAGCTGGGGTTTCAAGACGACAATCACGGCGATGCGTTTGGCTGATACCATAGTAGTCTTCTTACCGTAACCAGCCACCCGTCTTTTACGACGATGGAAGTAAATTTCGGAGCTAATTAAACACCAGAGTTTCACTTAATTTAGGTGTACATCGCCAAATATAGCTACTGTGTTGATTTACTGCTCGGCTTGGGATGAGCAAACACTCGCTGCACTAATTACGGCTACTGGCGATAAATAAGGGAGTTCTTACTAATGCAAGTACGTTGTCGCAAATTACCTGAAGCTTTTGTGCGAAAGTTTGGAGGTTCAATCAGATTGGTCATTTATCTCCTCCTTAGTAAGCACATTCGGGAATAAAGCTGGGCCAACAGTCAGTAACCGAGCATATTAAAGTCAACTGGAATCCTGAAATGCGTTCCCAATTTGAAATACTTAAGAGAAGATGGTTGGCTAAATTTCATTCTGCATCAAATAAATTCTCAAATGTGACTTTGCTAATAAAGAATAACTTATGCGTGATTGTGGTATTGCGTATAGTGTTGCCTAACCCCACGATGTTTCAGTCACTTCGAACAGCTGACTCCTAAATTTACTTCTTCTCGGCCGCCCGCAGATACCACAATTGAAACCCTAGAAATTTTCTTTATCGAGTTTTGGTGCCCTTACAAATTTGAATGTCTTTTGACAAAAGAAAGCATAACAGTATCCGTTCGTGTAATCTCTTGAGATCAGATCACGTCCTCTTTGCAAATTTCCCTCCGAGATGGGTATCATTTGGTTTTTGAAAAGCTTCGAATTATGGGACCTTTACGGCTCATAGATGTCCACTTAAATATAATCGTATATGTTGGCTTATTTATCCTGCTTACAGAGTATACCATGTAGTTCATAGTCAGTGCGAAATTTCATGAGACCTATATGATATTCTGGTGATGGTATAGATGAATGTATAATTTCCCCTATATGGAAAGTATACAACTTTATTTATACAAATCCTTTACACGTGTGTAACAGAAAATGAGACTCGCAATCATTCGGAAGCTAGAACGGTAAGATGTCGTTGTGCAGCCGTACCTGGTGGACATAATACTTGTAGGGGTTAAGGGTATGGGTTAGGAGTTTAGGTTACAGGTTATGGTTAGGGGTTGGGATAACTATTTCGCAATCACTCAGTTATAACCGTGCATTCCCAATAGCTTTTAATTAGTATGCAATTACTTGAACACCTAGCCTGTGTATTTCTCGCTCCATCCATAAAATGCCCTATTACCGCCGGTCCCTTATCACAGGCGGCTGGGGGTTGTTTCATATTGATCTAACTGTGAAAAACTCGGCGCCTCGGTAGGATTCGAACCCCTGTAGTAAGGAGAAGGCTTTAGTACAGCCAACGCTTTAAACACTTGAGCTACGAAGCCCCGCCGGACGACGCAAGTGGAGTCGAATCCCACCGAGGCACCGAGGTTTTCACAGTTGGGTCAATATGAATTATTCAGCATCTGCCAAAACATCTCTGAATGGGGTTTGTTTACCCCAGACGCGGCTGCCTAACTACATCTGATCGTCAAAATACTTTTTGAAAACCAAGCACATCTATTTTGAGTACAAAGGCGAAGAATATGTGATTTGCTACCAAATGAGTGCAAGGGAGGATATTATTAGACTGCACACTTTAAAATATATTTGACCATATGGAGGCATCTAAAATCTACTGAAACAATCTCACTATATGTGCGATCTTTTTTACTGAATGCGGCTTTTGTAAGTGGCCGGAAAGAAAAACATACAAAATTCATTATCCTAAGGTGACTAGACTATCTTGGCAATATGCTGAATTATAATCGGTCTTGAAATTGTGCTTGTGTGAGTGTCTGGGAGAGGAGAAGTAGATATAATGTATGAAGAAGGCCTTCTTACGGTATTTGGTGGTAGTCCAGGGTGTAACGTACACGCTGACAGTAGGGGCAGAAATGCATGTCATACAGCGTGAACTTATCCGGGTCGACGGGAGGTTCTGGATCACCTGGAAAAAAATAACCGGAAAGTGAGGAGGGTATTTATAGAGGCGATCAGACGAGTTCCGGGAAGCTGTTCAGAAGAAGAAGATGCAATCACTGGAACCAAAAGTTTATTGGCCTGTCGTTTCGGATTCTCACTCGAACCTATCATCAGAGACGGTTTCAGATGAGGGCAGTGGAGGCACAAAGACTGCAGTATTTAAACTTCGTAGCTTCCGTGAGGTCAAATGCATACTAAAATTGACAGCTCTCGTGATTTCCGCTGGTGGTCGTAAGCAAGGCCATGGTGGCCCGTCCGACCGCGGCCGAAAGACCCGCTGCCACGGCAGGAAACGTATAGAGACGTTTCCGGATCTGATGCAATTGCAGACAAAGCAGTTACGTCGGAAAAACTGGGAGAGTACTCCGCACGGGAATTGCTGAGCAAGCAGCAGCAGTGAGGAGGAAAGACGCCAGGTCTCCGTTACCAGCTCATTCCACGGATTCCGGCCATATTTTAAGTTTCGTGAGGCCAAAATCCTCGCAAGAGTTGGTAGCTGCATGAGCCGCGAGCTGCTCGAACCATGGTCCTCAGGCCCGCAGTCTATCAACAAGCTCAATGACCTCCCGGCACCATATTCAGTGCTGAGACATTCCCTGAACATGGAAATCGGTCACGTGGGAGGCGGGGAGCGCTCAACTATCCTGGTAACAGCGGCGCAAATAGCTGAATCATCATCGCGTCAACATCCAACACGGATGATATAATTGCGGCAATTTACGACTCGGACGCGAACCGACGAGCCGTCATCGCCTTAATTAAGAACCCCAGCGGTGACCACGAGGGCTGTTAATTATAGTTCGCATTTTCCCCCACGGCAGCTACACCCTTTAAATGGTGCAGTCCTTGTGCCTCCACTACCTTTACCTACAACGGTCTCTGATGCTGGGTCCGAGTAAGAATCCGAAACATCGGGCCAATAAGCTTCTGGTTCCGATGATCGCATCCCCTTATTCTTCTTCTTCTGAAGGTATCTATAGTCATTTGACATGTATCTTGATCTGATTAGAATGGAGACATTGCTGATTAACGAAGTATTTCTTGTTTTTACCTGAGTAAAATAATATATTTGTGGGGCGACAGATAGTGATTTATCCGGCCGATTGGCCCTGGGGACAGGCTTCGTCTGGCATCTCAGTACCGACAATTTCGGTTTATACGATTTCTATCGGATTGAAGAAAACAAATGGCGTTTGCTAGACGACAGTCTTTGAAGGTGTTTATCGTGTTTACTTCTTCATAGATATGGGAAACATATCTAATAGGAACTGCCGAAATTTGTATAGTTGATTTTCAATCCTGGATCTCTTAATGTGAGCTTCATTGCAAATATTAGTCCCAGGATACGACCAGGGTGAATGCGTCTCTTGAGTGACTGGGCGCAATGGAAGCTGAATTGTATTATTTTACTGCTTACGTGTTAGCTAGAAATGTCAAATGACCTGGCAGAATCCGATAATATTAGTTCAGTGGTCACCTTTTGCATGACAGTATCGCAGTGAAGTTATTCAATTAAATCACATGTAAGCTGTCTCCAGAACGATGTGTTGGGGATTTTCAGACGTTTAAGGTAAAACAAAATGCTTTTATTAGTTGCGCATTGTGCTCTAGTGAGGCCTAATGAAAGATAAAAAAATTACGTTACACCAGTCCCCTTTGATTTGGCCACTTTAGACCCTATACTCAAACTCTAGACTCCGATTGGTTTACGTTGGGTCTCAGTTTGGAAAATATGCAGAAAATGTATGTTCGTGAACGAATCAAAGTGTGAGAAGGCATGAATCACAAGCGTATGTGCGTAACATAGATTCCGAAAAGTCTTTAAATGTCGGCAACAAAGATTGTTCATATACTTACCTTCTTTCAAATGCTGCATTTTGTGTGCACACATTCTCAGGCAAACGTTCTACACCGAGCGCGAACCTGTGCGGGCATTGTGCGGCTCCATTTATATATGAAGGCAAGTGTCGCCGACTTTTGTTATTGGTTGTTGATGTTCACCGCCGATTGGTTATTTAGTTGTGGGCGACGCCTGGGCGGCAAGCTTGGCGATGATTGGAAGGCTTTATGAAGTTACTTAAACTAGAGGATGGACAGGAGGTCACTGAAGGCGAAAATGAAGACCACGATAAAGCAAGGAGAGAAGTAGCTGATAATAATGAACTGAGTGATTGCTCGATAACAAAGTCTATTCTATTTAGGGACGCCCATCATTCTGACGGAAGTCACACGACCGGGCAATTAACTCGACACAAACCTCTAAACAAAATTGAGTTCTTTTATGAAAAAGTACAAAACTCCTTTAATAAACTCGGTTAATTAGCAGCACAGTAGCCAATATACGTTCTTATGTGATTTAACAGACTGGATCGTGGCTCGGTCGAAATATTAAAGACTTTTAAATATTAATAGATGGCCAGCAATTGTTAAGAGTAGACCGGACCAAAAGGAGAAGTCGTTGTAGTGCCCCATATATCAGTGATTTAGTTAAATTCGAACCTGCTGAGGAATGTGCTACCGATCATAATTTGGAGATTCGGCAGTGTTTCTGTAGGTCTCTAGATACGAAAGAGAGGAAACAGACGTTGATCTCACAGTCCCGGGAGGAACAGAGCATGCTAATTGTGAAATATTTCAGTGCTCCGCTTGCAAACTGAGACCTTATGAAAACTAATACCAAAAGGCAAGAGTTCGATCTAATGCTACTGGACATGGCACTTGTTGATTTCGTTTTTCAACATGTCCAAACAACAAATCAAATGCGTAAGAGCCAGAGGTTTAGTTGCCAGGATCTAGGAATAGTGTTGACGAAGTAGATGGAGGTTTACCCTTAGGTTCACGTGATGACGCGACATTAAGGGGGAAATCAAACCTTGGTGCCGTCCGGAACGAACTTCATAGTCGTCAAGACACGTCTAGCGGGGTAATTCTGAAGCAATGAAATTGGCCCTTAGACATAAACTGTGGACGTACATGTTGTGAGAATCCGACGAAGGTTGGAAACCTCTAAATTAACTTTAAAACACTGGGTTGAGTACTACCGTTACCGCGAGAAGCAGATCCTAATGGCTGCCGACCGCAGGTAGGGAGATTCAAAAGAAGCGTAACCCGTGAAAAATCTCTCTGCAAACAGAGAGCCCAGAAAAGATTAAAAACTTCATTTAGCAAAGTGCTTAATTTAAGAAGCTTACGCATCTTATGAAGTGGGGCTTCAAGAGGAGGTATCGCAAGGACCCACAGCATTCTATGATTACATTAAAGGTACTAACAAGAATTTCGACTTACGCGCAACCGTAAAACCAAAAACAACTAGATTGTAACCGGTGGCACCAAACAACAAAAAGTAACCTTTTCCAAAGTGTTTATGCCATGGAAACCCCCATCACAGCACAGATATCTACTACAGTTTCTCAACAGCCCACTTATAACCATTGTATTATCTACACCGCATATAATTTTGTTTGAATTTAAGAAATCAACCCCGCCAAGTCATCTAGACCAGAGGCGATTCCAAGTGTGTACTTCGAAGCCAAAAAACTGAAAAACGAGTCGAACCGATGTGGATCATTTTTCGAGAACATCTAGGAGAGAGTTAAAATCCTGGTACATGGAAATGAATAGATATCGAGAAAGCATGGCCATTCCTCCATCCTACTAACTACTAACAGGTCAATCTAACATGGTTAATTAAAATCAATTATATCGCTTGTTTCATTTCGCTGACAGTTAAGCGAGGAGAGAAGAGATCCTTCTCCTAAATATCTACGTAAATCGCTCGAACGTTGATCAAAAAATGTAAACGAAGGACATCCAACCGATGTTATTGACTTTGACCTCAACAGGGACGTTAATTGCATTCCCCAGAAGCGTCTCATCTAAAAGATGTCACATTTTGAAGTTAGAGAAGATCTCTTGAATTGGATGCATGATTTCCTAACAGGTTGCCGAGAAAAGACTACTTCGGTTGACTACTGTCCAAAATGGGCATCTGTTAAAAGTATATTTCCACAATAAACAGTTCTTGGACCGCTCCCGTTTATTACTTGTGCAAATGGGCTAGTAAAGGCGACCAAAACTTATGAGTTGGTAGTAACAGACAAGAAGAACTTTCAGATACATCGACAATATATGGAAAAACGGTAGGCATAGATCGAGTTCTGGTGCATGAAATCTGACGTCGACAGATTTATGGTAATAAACATGATATCAGCAAGAGGAAGAAGAGCTGAAATTTTAGGATGCCGTTTTTCAAAATAACAGTCATTCAAAAACGTTTTGGTTATTCGTGCTTGAGCACTGCAGAATTGCTTTTATTGTCCTGAGCGTTCGAACTCACGCAGAAGTCCACTATAAGAGATAGGTGCAATAACAGACAAGCGACAGTTATGGGGCGTGCTAGCCAATCATCGATCGATGCTGCAAGGTTAAAGGGGCCAGAGTAGGACTCTGTACGCCGGCGCCAGATCTGCAAAATCGATCGACTGAGTTCTCATTTGAGGTCCAGACCTCAAGTATTCTCGGCCTGTTTTTTCCGCTGTGGGCCGGTGGATGCCAAGTCAAAGTCTTAGCCTAGTTCGTAGGTGCGGGAGGTCACTTGCGTTAATACGCGGCCTCGTCTCATAGCTAGCTTATGTTAGCTCATCCGCGATCCGAGCATCAGTCCAGTCTGGCCCCTGTAGTTAAAAGGACAATTTTGGCACGGGATGCGATAAACTACTCCAAATTGCTCCTCAGGCTTTAACCGGTCTTTAATTTTCATGACCCTACTGCACATGATGGCTTTGAGGGGGGGTATGCAGTCCCACCGCCTAGTTTCGCAGTAGTGCGCTCTGTCGCTTCTGAACCGTCCTTAATGTATGGCAAAGAATGTCATATTGTACATGGCGTCGGTGTTTGGGTCCCCTGAGTGCAACCGCCTACGAATGACTTCAGAAAGGCATTTTGCGCAAACCGGTCGCGGCGATAACGGGCCCCACGTACCCTTCCTCCAGTTTGCTGCAATAAACCCAGATTCGTCTAATGAGCCACCGGATGGTTGCTGTGAAGGTTGAAAAACTGTGTGGTGTTAATTGCCTTTCTACAAACCAACGTTGCAGGTTCACCGTTAAGATGAAGTCTGATGAACACATCCAGGATGGGTAATTGCTGCCTCTGCTGTAAGCAGGTTGTGCATATATTTTAGCTAGTACATATTTACGGCAACATGCGTTTCATCTACGTAAAGACGCTAAAACACCGGCTCTCGTTGGACAAAGACAACATTTTATAACTCCTTTATGAGCAGTTCTGCCGCTAATCCTGAAGCTGGTGAGCACATTGGAGTTTCCTTAATTTGTTCATAGGTTACTCCAGCAAAAGTGCAGAAAGTTTATTGGCAGAATTAAAACAGCCTCATTAGCTGCTCAATTTGAAGTGCACTCTGAGTCTCGTCGTACGCCTCTTGAGGTCTCCTGTGCAAGACTCCGCGCGACATGTTTGGAGCAAATAACGGCGTCACGTCGAAGGAAATAATTATTTTGTCTTCGTTCGTGCAGCATATCGTTTTCCTTAAAATTCTTCTATGAAAGATTTCGGCCGATTGCCGAATATGCATACAAAATTGGTCAAGCACAAACATTCTACGGGGTTTTGTGGTTTATAAATGATATTTTCATGCCTTCTCGATCAAATGACGGTATTATTTGTAGCGAGGAGGGACGACAGAGAATGCGGGTAGATTGATACAGCACTGTTTCGGGCTTATTCTGCCTTCATTCAGCCAATCATAACCCTGATCACCACCAGCTGGTACCGAAAACACAAACATGCGCTCAGACGCACCTGGCGCGGTCGGTCCACCACTGAGGCCTACCAGATGGGTCATAAGCACTTCATCGAACCGAAGTTCATCAGTGCCTCTCCACCTGCCATTCTCTGTCGCTGCAGATCGGGTATTTATCAATCAGGAATGGGCGCACACCGATCTATTGGCTTCACAAAGCAAACAAGCTCCGTATGTGTGGCAAAGGTCACGAACAGGCAACCAATTACCAGGCCGAAGTCGGCCAAGTCATAATTTACCCGCATTCTCTGTCGTCCCTCCTCGCTGCTATTATGACTTGGCCGACTTCGGCCTGGTAATTGGTCGCCTGTTCGTGACCTTTGCCACACATACGGAGCTTGTTTGCTTTGTGAAGCCAATAGATCGGTGTGCGCCCATTCCTGATTGGTATTATTTGTGGCAGGCGCCCGTAAATTTCGGAGAACCGCAGCAGTCGGTTTTAGTTCGAAGTGATAGGTGGCGGAATAGGCGACGACATGTGAACTGGTGCAATCGCAAAATTAGTTAATCGACCATTCGTTAGTTAAAACTTTCCCTCCAAATTTTGTCGAACACGTTAGAGAACACAACGCATTAATTTACAGCTGATGTTTATTCGATAGTGTTTCCAAACGTTTGTGCAAACCGTTGGACGGGTAAAAATTGGACGCGTCAGGATAATATATACTAACTTTTGCAGGAGAACTCGGGCATTCACCCCTACATATCAAAGACAAATGTTTAAGCAAAAACAGGGCAGTGCTCACTGACTATGCGCTAAGGTCTTCAAACGTTTTGCCTCGTCCAAAGATGTGACGTGTTTTTTCAGTTTTCAAGAAGCACAGAGATGTTGAATGCCCGTTGGCGGGTCATCTTGACACAACTTCGGACGGCGGATTTTTGAGCCGATTACAAATTAACAATGTCATCATATTGCATGGTCTCCATCAATCCTACCGTCAGCCTCAATGGCCTTTTATAATGTTCACCAGCAACAGGGAAACAGAGATCGGACTGATTTGGGTGTGTTGATATTAAATTCGATCTGGAAGCCTGAATGAGTATAAAACCACGGA